ATAAAAGAAAAAAAAAGGGAAAATTAGATAATAAACGTCGAGGAGCGACCGGGGGGGAGAATGAAACGTCTTTTTCGTGATGTAATGATGTAATCGTAAATGATATTTGGGAGAGTTTCTTTATTTAAAAGGCCAATCTCGTTTCGTTTCTCTCTATCGGTTTTATTTGTTTACGGTCGAGATGGAAGATGCGCCATACAGGGTGTCCCAATGAAAACCGCATGTTTTTATGATTATTCGTTTAAAAATTATTAGGGGTTACTTTTCATTGGGACACCCTGTATTATCAAAAAAAAATTATGTACGAAATCAATTCGAATTTTTCGTTTGCTATCTTAAAAATTTGCACCGGTTTTTTTCTTATATAATCACGAAGAAAGCCCCGAGGGCGTCTAATTAACGAACGGAGATCTAATTGCATTAAATTCAGTTTAATTGGATTTTTGAACTTTCTTGTTTGTTTTTTTTCCTCGCTTTCTTAGCGACAAATAAAGCGATCTCCATGAAAAAAAAAATTAATTAAATTCCCCGCGCCTTATTCATACAAAAAAAATAATAATACGCCTTACAATTGATATAATCTCTGTAAATATTACACAGGGTGTCGAAAAAAATATCAATTTAAAAAATTAAGAAAAATTTCGAAAAAATATCGAAATATGTAGATCTGTTAAGGTAGTTTTAAGGTATGTTTAATTATAGAATGTAAATATTACTCTTCTCTAATCAATTTTGAGATTCATTTACACCGAATACATTTAACAGGAACATGACAATGAATATTCATCGAGCACGCGAGATTAATTATCCATTATTTGTCTCGTTAATTACACAAAGAGCCCTCTAAATCAACCAAATTTATCGGGAAGATATGTTTACCTATTAGAAACGATATTATTTAAATAACCTATTCAGTTGACTCGATTACAACCGCTACATTTTTCTTAAATAGATCCAAATATTACTTACATTTTATTCTAACTGCAAGTACAGGTCACTGTCAAATTCACTATTCACTATTCACTAATTCACTAATTCACTAATTCACTAATTCACTAATTCACTAATTCACTAATTCACTAATTCACTAATTCACTAATTCACTAATTCACTAATTCACTAATTCACTAATTCACTAATTCACTAATTCACTAATTCACTAATTCATTTTTGTCCCCCGCATTTGAAGCGAATATTAATTTATTTCGCGTTATTTGTTCGAACGATTGACAAAAAAACTACTGATAATACCATTGTAATGTACGAACGTCGAAGTTTAATAGAGATGGGAGTTATTTTGTAGTGTAGAGGCGCAGTAGCGACTGTTACAAAATAACCGTTATATTTTTTCAAATATCGTCCTCCTGGTATACTCTCGCTCTACAGGGCTTTTCACGGTAACCGTCCATAAGAAGTATCTCAATAATGAAAATACTTATAAATCAGAAATTTTAGTTATAGTATTTTTTGAATAATACGAATTGATCTAAAATATTTTCACTTTGATTACACTTCCGGTTATACCGGAAGTTGACACCAACTTCGTTATTTTATATGGAAAGTGCCATTTTTAACTTCATTTTTGAATTCTATCGCCTTTTTTAACTAGACTTTGATAATAACACCATATGCCAAAAACGCACCATTTTTAAGATATTACAATTTTTTCGAATTTTTTTGGAAAAACAGTCGAATGTATTTCCTGTGATATCTCTGTTTATAATGCAGCTAGAAGCTTGAAATTGATGAAATTGATGATTGAAATTGATGTCCAGACATACTACTAAATGCAACTAAAGTGTATTTTCAGAATCCATGTACAGGGCGTTTAAAATTGTCTGACAAACTTGGGCAAATTGAAGTGGTCATAACTTTGTTATTTCAAATGAACCACCCTGTATTTTTTAACAGTGACCAATGCAGTTTTTTAAGCCCTTTCGATCCATATGGGTATTCCCTAATCCGGTAGTTTTTGAAATAATCGAAGTTTTATAAAATAAGGTATGAATTTTCTTTTTTTTTGAGTTATCTAGTTGGCTATTTGATGACCTTATGTCAATCCGACATAACGATAAGGGCGATAAGTCTTTTCATTATTGAGATACTTCTAATGGACGGTTACCGTGAAAAGCCCTGTATACAGGGTGTTTCATTGGGAAAGGGCAATATTTTAACCCTGTATAGAGGTCTCCCAGGGGATTACAAAAAACCCATATACTATGGGTCTTGCGCCCTTTATAACCGAGTTACAGGGTGTTTTTTGAATTTGGCCCATTTCTTTCGACACCTACAACTTTTGAATCACTCAGTATATTTTTTTGATATTTGGCATAGATATTCTATACCTTTACGACAATTTATTGCCACATTAAAAAATTACAAAATCCAGGTCCGGATTTAGAAAAAATAATATGTTTATTGTTTAAATTTTGGTAGAAAAATGGCATGCGGGAAAATAAAAAGTTGATGAATACATTCAGTTTTTTATGCTCTTTCTGAATTTGAAATTCAATTTTTAAAAATATGATGTATAGGGTGTTGTTTTAGGGTCGGTCAAATTTTATTAATTTTTCTAAATCCGGACCTGGATTTTGTAATTTTTTAATGTGGCGATAATTTGTCCTAAAGGTATAGAATATCTATGCCAAATATCAAAAAAATTTACTAAGTGATTCAAAAGTTATAGGTGTCGAAAGAAATGGGCCAAATTCAAAAAACACCCTGTAACTCGGTTATAAAGGGCGCAAGACCCATAGTATATGGGTTTTTTGTAATCCCCTGGGTGACCTCTATACAGGGTTAAAATATTGCCCTTTCCCAATGAAACACCCTGTATAAACGTTTATAGGTCAATAAATAAAGCATTTACCCCGTATTCGAACACAAGTACTTTACAAATAAGGGTTTATTTATACTTGAAACGTATTCGATATCGAGCCCATCTCGTTCGCTATACGGCCCAATTAGGTACATCCTACATCGGTTATTCCGGTGCACAAAACTCTGGAAAATCATCCGGATTTTTCCAAAAGATCCCTTTCGAACGAACGGGAAAGGATAATAGCGAGTGCAGTCGAGTGTTTATTCCACAACAATGATAAAACCTACACCAGAGAGAATCCCGCTTGAATATATGAAATAATTCTTCTTTTTTTTTTTCCTTAATTCAACGAGGCCTCGGCAGCTTCGGTTATTCAGCAACACGCGGAATAATTACCGTTTGATGTTTCGAACAATTAATTCGAGTCGTAGAGAAACTCGTGTTGGTGACTGTTTGAACAAAACGATTTAGAAAAATCGTACACAAAGGAGTAAAAACATGAAAAAAAAAATCGAGTTGTATCGGAATGGTAGAGAGAGCGAAGCAAAAAAAAAACACCGAGCAAAACGGGCCGGATGGCGGGCGTCGCGACGCTCCTCTCGTCCCATTTAATTCTGACAAATTGTCGTGTAATCCGCAACGCCTGCTACGATATTCGATATTCTCCGCACGACCGTCACGCCAACTGGGACCGAAAGAGAGAGAACCAGCGCCATCTGAGTCCTCGGGCCGAGGATTTTCCATCAGGAATAAAAAAAAAATAACAGAGGAAATACTAAAATTCGATTGCCAATCCAGAAGGTTAGAGAAATACCCTTTAGTAAAATATTTCTATCATAATATCGTAGGTTCATTATTGGTTCATTATTGGTTCATTATTGGTTCACTATCCGTTCCTTATTGGTGTCTTATTATTGGTCCATTACTGGTTCATTACTGGTTTATTTTATTGCTTCCTTGGTTCATTATTGGTTCCTTACTTTATTATTGGCTCCTTGGTCCATTATTGGTTCATTATTGGTTCACTGTCGGTTCCTTATTGCTGTCTTATTATTGGTCCATTACTGGTTCATTTTATTGCTTCCTTGGTTCATTATTGGTTCTTTACTTTAATATTGGCTCCTTGGTCCATTATTGGTTCATTATTGGTTCACTATCCGTTCCTTATTGGTGTCTTATTATTGGTCCATTACTGGTTCATTACTGGTTTTTATTGCTTCCTTGGTTTATTATTGGTTCCTTAGTTTATTATTGGTTCCTTGGTCCATTATTGGTTCACTGTCAGTTCCTTATTGCTGTCTTATTATTGGTCCATTACTGGTTCATTACTGGTTTATTTTATTGCTTCCTTGGTTCATTATTGGTTCTTTACTTTATTATTGGCTCCTTGGTCCATTATTCGTTCATTATTGGTTCACTGTCAGTTCCTTATTGGTGTCTTATTATTGGTCCATTACTGGTTCATTACTGGTTTTTATTGCTTCCTTGGTTTATTATTGGTTCCTTAATTTATTATTGGTTCCTTGGTCCATTACTGGTTCATTACTGGTTTATTTTATTGCTTCCTTGATTCATTATTGGTTCTTTACTTTATTATTGGCTCCTTGGTCCATTATTGGTTCACTGTCGGTTCCTTATTGCTGTTTTATTATTGGTCCATTACTGGTTCATTATTGGTTCATTTTATTGGTCCATTACTGGTTCATTTTATTGCTTCCTTGGTTCATTATTGGTTTCTTAGTTTATTATTGATTCATGATTGGTTCCTTGGCTCATTATTGGTTCCTTGGTTCATTATTAGTTCATTGTTGGTTACTTGGTTCATCAATAAATTTGTAATTTTCGAAATTATTGTGTACAAATCAAAGTTATTTGAAATTCTTCTAAAATGTTCTGGGAATTTGCCAATTCAACTTGAAGAGTTCCGAATTGTTCTGGATAATTCAAATTCGTTTTGTATATCTCACTAAACTGATCCGGACAATTTAAATTCGTTTCGTACTTTATTCCTCTATCTACTTTCCTCCTCTTTCTATCCTCCCAGAAGTGTTTGAAATTGTTCTCAAATTCCAATTCAATTTGTACCTCCCTAAATTGTTCCGGACAGTCGCTAATTCCCCCAAAAGTCTTCCAAACCACCCTAAACACTCCCGAATTTCTTCTTTTTTTCCATCCAACTAACCGTCACACATCACCAAAGCAACGTTCGATACAAACAATATTCGACATTGTTTGTATCGTAACAGAGGCAATTACAAATTCAATTATTTCGACAATATGGGCTCGCGTCAAACGAAAAATGGACGTTTTGCAATTCCAAGACGTAATTGCCGGTTACGAGCGCGTAATTGCCGAATTAACCGGCGATTTGCGAAGCGTACAAGCCGCTCACGACGAGCTCAGAGCGTCGATAACGATCCTGATCGAAGAGAATCGCGAATTGGCCAAAGAATTGAAGGGGATAAACGCGAAGAGGGGCAAAGAAAGTTCGATCGAATTCGAACTGGTGGACAATTTGAGGCAACAACTCAATCTAGGTAAGGCCTTTTGTTTTACAAGTCTCCCAGCTAACGCTCTTATCTTGTAGTATTAGAAGAAAAAGAGGAGATAAAGCTACAATTACAACAAACTTCCGGCAACGTTGATTTGCTGGAAAACGAATTGAAACTGTACAAATCCGATAACGTGGAATTAATACCGAAACAACAATACATGCAAACGAAACACGCCTTAAACAACGCGATAAACCAGCTCAAACAATCCTTGAAACAATCGGAAGACAAGCAAACGAAAACTGTAGAAGATACGCTAAAAAAAGACGAAGAAATTAACAATTTAACCCACAAACTAGACGATTACAAACGTAAAATACACGAAGCCGAAGAAACCAACGAAGAATTACGAAGAAACTTCTACGAAAAAGAAAGAAGAATGCAAACGTTGTTATTGCAAAACAACGAGCACAGAGAAAAAGTAAACGAAGCGTTACAAATAGTACAGGCGGCTTTGAACGAAAAAGACGCCGCCTTGATGCGAGAGGTAACAGTAAGAACGAACGTACAGAAATTAAACGAAGAACTAGACTCTATTCTAAACGATATTAAAGAAAAATTCGACAGAGAAACCGCCAGAATCAAACAAGAAGCCTCCAAACAACGCGACGCTCTTCTAAAAGAAATCGATTCCGCCAAACAACGACTCGACGCCAAATCGATCGAAATCGAAAAATTCCACACCAAATCGATCGTCCTACAAAACAACATCGACAAACTCCTATCGACCGGCTCCAACGCCAACGCAATCGACGACAACACCGCCACCTCCAAGCTGCTGGTGCTCGAAAAGAACCTGGAGAGCACCTTCCAGAAGCTGCTCGTCTCCGAGAAGCACAACATCCAGCTCAAATCCGATTTGGAGGCTCTAAAGAACGACATGGAGCAGATGGGCGTCTTCTACGAGCGCACGCTCAAGTCCAAGGACGTGGAGAAGTCCAGCCTGCAGAACACCATCAATCAGCTGCAAGCCTTCGTGCGCGACAAGGATTTGAGCGTGAAGAGTTTGAGCGAGGAGGTGCGCCGATTGAGCGAAGAACTGGCGGCGAATAAACACGAATTGAAAACGTACGCGGAACGAGTCGATAGAGAACTGGACGAGGCGAAGAAGAAGATAAAAGAGTGGAAAAACGCGGTGGAATCGACGGAGAAGCTGAACAAGAAGCTCCTGGTGGAGACCAAGGAGATTCTCAATAGGATGGACGAGGCTTTGAGGCGTTCGAAGAGCGACGGGCGCAAGTTGAGGAAGGACCTCGTCCTGGCCCAGCGGACGGTCGAAGAGTACAAAAGGAAAGCGGTCGAATGTAGGGAAATGATGCGAGTGTTGACTGTTGATTTTAATAATGTTGATGATAATTTGAAACAAAATATATTGAGTTGATGATTTTTTTTTATTGTTTCTTTTCGAGGATTAAATAGGGATTAATAAGTGTAATTGGGAACTAATTGGGAACCAATAAAGGAACCAATTAAGGGCTAATAAAACGATAATAAGGAACCAATAATCAACCTGTAATGAAACACTAATAAGAAACCGATAAGGAACCAATAAGGAAGTGATAAGAAACCCATAATAAACCATTAATAAACCAATTAATGTACCAATAATGAACCAACAATGCACCAATATTGTCAAGAACAATTTTGAAAATTATAAAATTAATTTGAATTGTCCAGAACAATTTAGAACACTTCTGAAAACATCTGCAACAATCCAGAACAATTTAGAACACTTTTGAAAACATCTGCAACAATCCAGAACAATTTAGAACACTTCTAAAAACATCTGCAACAATCCAGAACAATTTAGAACACTTCTAAAAATATTTGCAACAATCCAGAACAATTTAGAACACTTCTAAAAACATTTGCAACAATCCAGAACAATTTAGAACACTTCTAAAAACATTTGCAACAATCCAGAACAATTTAGAACACTTCTAAAAACATTTGCAACAATCCAGAACAATTTAGAACACTTCTAAAAACATCTGCAACAATCCAGAACAATTTAGAACACTTCTAAAAACATCTGCAATTGTCCAGAACAATTTAGGGCACTTCTAAAAACATTTGCAACAATCCAGAACAATTTAGAACACTTCTAAAAACATTTGCAACAATCCAGAACAATTTAGAACACTTCTAAAAACATTTGCAACAATCCAGAACAATTTAGAACACTTCTAAAAACATTTGCAACAATCCAGAACAATTTAGAACACTTCTAAAAACATTTGCAACAATCCAGAACAATTTAGAACACTTCTAAAAACATCTGCAACAATACAGAACAATTTAGAACACTTCTAAAAATATTTGCAACAATCCAGAACAATTTAGAACACTTCTAAAAACATTTGCAACAATCCAGAACAATTTAGAACACTTCTAAAAACATTTGCAACAATCCAGAACAATTTAGAACACTTCTAAAAACATTTGCAACAATCCAGAACAATTTAGAACACTTCTAAAAACATTTGCAACAATCCAGAACAATTTAGAACACTTCTAAAAACATCTGCACCAATCCAGGACAATTTAGAACACTTCTGAAAACATCTGCAAGAATCCAGAATAATTTATCACACTTCTGAAAACATCTGCAATTGTCCAGAACAATTTAGGGCACATCTAAAAACATTTGCAACAATCCAGAACAATTTAGAACACTTCTAAAAACATCTGCACCAATCCAGGACAATTTAGAACGCTTCTAAAAACATCTGCAAGAATCCAGAACAATTTAGAACACTTCTGAAAACATCTGCAATTGTCCAGAACAATTTAGGGCACTTCCAGAACGATTTATACTATAAAACACACACAATCATGACAGTTGACGTTTCGCAAACGTCATTCCCATCGTAATCCGATCGTAGCAAGCTTTAATTTTGCGCTGTAGCCAAGTTTCCTAATTATTCAATGGGTTTTAAGATAAAATCATTCTTCTACTAACCATAATACCTCGGTAAATCATAGTTGTGATCCGCGAAAACCGCCCTTGTTAGAAACAACTTTCCCAGAGAGTGCTGTACACAAATCCAATCCTCTGGATATATATGGATTCGAGCGAGTTGCCTCTCCAGAGCCAGATACTTATGTAGAGCGTCTCTAATTTATCCTAAGACCATCTACGCGGATTTTACCAAGAGTTTATCCATTCAACGTTTCGTTCGTACGCGCTATTTAGGATTATGTATACGGTAATTTCCGGAACATTGAATTGCCTACTCCAGTCTCCGGTTTCCAGACGTGAATATCGCGAGCGGTTAATTCCCTGTTCGGATTCATAAAGCATTTAAAAAAAAAACGGATTAAAAAGTATATTCGCCGTTACCGCGCGAAGTTTAATCGATTAATTAATTTCCACGCGCGGGATTCGGGATATTTTTCCGTTTTTCCGTTTCATTTGCTTCCCAGCAACGTTAAAAATTCGAATACAAACGGATCTGGCGTATATCCGATAATTCCTCGGGGGAATACCCAGTTTTTACAACGGTTCAGGACGAATTGGCAACTGTACGGAACAATTTAGAACGCTTCAGGTCGAATTGGCAACTCTACAGAACAATTTAGAACGCTTTAGGTCGAATTGGCAAGTATCCAGAACAGTTTAGAAAGCTTCAGGTCGAATTGACAAGTATACAGAACAATTTAGAACGCTTCAGGATGAATTGGCAACTCTACAGAACAATTTAGAACGCTTCAGGATGAATTGGCAACTCTACAGAACAATTTAGAACGCTTCAGGATGAATTGGCAACTCTACAGAACAATTTAGAACGCTTTAGGATGAATTGGCAACTCTACAGAACAATTTAGAACGCTTCAGGATGAATTGGCCTCTCTACAGAACAATTTAGAACGCTTCAGGTTGAATTGGCAACTCTACAGAACAATTTAGAACGCTTCAGGATGAATTGGCAACTCTACAGAACAATTTAGAACGCTTCAGGATGAATTGCCAACTCTACAGAACAATTTAGAACGCTTCAGGATGAATTGGCAACTCTACAGAACAATTTAGAACGCTTCAGGATGAATTGCCAACTCTACAGAACAATTTAGAACGCTTCAGGATAAATTGGCAACTGTCTAGAACAATTTAGAACGCTTCAGGTCGAATTGGCAACTGTCCAGAACAATTTAGAACGCTTCAGGATGAATTGGCAACTGTCTAGAACAATTTAGAACGCTTCAGGTTGAATTGGCAACTGTACAGAACAATTTAGAACGCTTCAGGATGAATTGGCCTCTCTACAGAACAATTTAGAACGCTTCAGGTTGAATTGGCAACTCTACAGAACAATTTAGAACGCTTCAGGATGAATTGGCAACTCTACAGAACAATTTAGAACGCTTCAGGATGAATTGCCAACTCTACAGAACAATTTAGAACGCTTCAGGATGAATTGGCATCTCTACAGAACAATTTAGAACGCTTCAGGTTGAATTGGCAACTCTACAGAACAATTTAGAACGCTTCAGGATGAATTGGCAACTCTACAGAACAATTTAGAACGCTTCAGGTCGAATTGGCAACTCTACAGAACAATTTAGAACGCTTCAGGATGAATTGGCAACTCTACAGAACAATTTAGAACGCTTCAGGATGAATTGGCAACTCTACAGAACAATTTAGAACGCTTCAGGATGAATTGGCAACTCTACAGAATAATTTAGAACGATTCAGGATGAATTGGCAACTGTTCAGAACAATTTAGAACGCTTTAGGTCGAATTAGCAACTGTCTAGAACAATTTCAAAATCAATAAGAAACCGTCCGAAACAATTCAGAATTCTTCAGGATGACTTAGAACTGCCCCGAATCGTTTAGAACAGATTCATGACGAATTAGAAATGTCCAGAACAATTTCGCAACAATTCTCCTCGTCCGAGTAACAAATAATCCCCTTTAATCGTTAATTTCCTTATCGGAAAAGTCGCCGGATCTAAGATGGCGCTGTCGTTTATTAAGCAATAAACCGAGCGGGGGGAATCCCACGGGGAAACTGTCTAGCTCGCGCCCAATGGATTATTAAACGGGTCCCCCCCATCCCCCCATCCCCATCCTGTCGTAGTTCCGGGAAGTTTCTCCGTATAATGCCGGGTAGCTTCAAAGTCGATTTTGATTGTGTTCGAGAGCAAGTTTTAGTTTTACTGCAAATTGCCATTCGATTGGCGATGCGAAATTAAATTTTCTAACCCGAGTTAAGAGCGATTCGTTGTATTGTTTGGGACGCGCTGTATATATGTAAAATTTAGAACGTGTTAGGATGATTTAGAACTGTTCAGAATCATTTAGAAAGTATCATGATGAATTAGAAATGTCCAGAATCATTTAGAATGCATCAGGATAAATTAGAAATGTCCAGAATCATTTAGAATGCATCAGGGCGAATACGAAACGTTCAAAATTATTTAAAATGCATCAGGATGATTTAGAACTGTACAGAATCATTTAGAATGCATCAGGATGAATTAGAACTGTTCAAAATCATTTAGAATGCATCAGGATGAATTAGAAATGTTCAGAATCATTTAGAATGCATCAGGATGAGTTAGAAATGTTCAAAATCATTTAGAATGCATCAGGATGAATTAGAAATATTCAAAATCATTTAGAATGCATCCAGAATGAATTAGAAATGTTCAGAATCATTTAGAATGCATCAGGATGAGTTAGAAATGTTCAAAATTATTTAGAATGCATCAGGATGATTTAGAACTGTACAGAATCATTTAGAATGCATCAGAATAAATTAGAAATGTTCAAAATCAGTTAGAATGCATCAGGATGAATTAAAAAATTTCAGAATCATTTAGAATGCATCAGAATGAATTAGAACTGTACAGAAACATTTAGAATGCATCCAGGATGAATTAGAAATGTTCAGAATCATTTAGAATGCATCAGGATGAATTAGAACTGTACAGAAACATTTAAAATGCATCCAGGATGAATTAGAAATGTTCAGAATCATTTAGAATGCATCAGAACGAATTAGAAATGTACAGAATCATTTAGAATGCATCATAGGATGAATTAGAAATGTCCAGAATCATTTAGAATGCATCATAGGATGAATTATAAATGTCCAGAATCATTTAGAATGCATCATAGGATGAATTAGAAATATCCAGAATCATTTAGAATGCATCATAGGATGAATTAGAAATGTCCAGAATCATTTAGAATGCATCATAGGATGAATTAGAAATGTCCAGAATCATTTAGAATGCATCATAGGATGAATTAGAAATGTCCAGAATCTTTTAGAATGCATCAGGATGAATTATAGAAATGTTCAGAATCAATTAGAATGCATCAGGATGAATTAGAAATGTCTAGAATCATTTAGAATGCATCAGGGA